TTCAAATTAATGAATGTGAAGCAATTACCCATCCAAATTCGGAGTGCACAAGTAGCACGTAAAAATGTTCGTCCGTTTCCTGGAATATCTACATACATATGTACATACATAATATCCTGTTTGATATATGTATGAGTAAGTAAGAAGAAGACAAACATACATATTTACGTTCATAACAGTTTTTTTTTATGGAGAGGTTTATGAAAAAGGTTTCTTTATAAAATATTTACACTAATATGGATTTATGTTATAACGGGTGTTTTAGAGGTATGAAATTTCCTAGAAGGATAACTGTCGAACCTGGCAAATTACCAAGCAAAGGCTAACACACCGGAACAACGTTTACAAATCGTCCAGGGACCCATACTACAGTCAAGGAGCATTTCGATGCCAGCAGGTTGAGAGTCTTCCTGGATTCTATGACTAATTTGGACGTTGTTCCGTTAGAATTGAGCGATTTTATAGCAGCATGGCTGTTAGAATAGATAGCAATAGGCCGTCCTGGATGGGCCGAGGTTGTGAGCCACCGAGCCGCCTCCATTATGGCATTTAGCTCTGCTTGAAAAACGCTACAATGGCCCGGTAAGTGAAAACTGAGGTTCAGCGCTAGTTCGTCAGAGTAAATTGCGCTACCCACTCTTTTGTTAAGCTTGGAACCATCTGTATACATATATGGCCGTAGACCCTGGGTTCAAGTTTGTGGCCCCTTCCCATTCGTTTCTCTCTGGGATTCTTGTGGTGAATTTGTTGTCAAAACAGAGTAGAGGTGTGGTATAATCCAACTGTCGTCGATTATCCGGTAGAGTTTCAAGTACTTTTGCATATCCGAATCTGAGGCCTCTCCATGGCTGGATCGTATTTAAGCTAGCCAAACTGCAGCCGGACCGAAATTTGCCGTAGAGATCAACAGGTGGAAGATTTAACATTACTTCAAGAGATTTGGTGGGTGTAGTGGGCAGTGCTCCCGTAACGAGCATGGCAGCCTGCTCTGCACTCATTCCCCCTTGGTTCTGGACAAGGTATTGAAGGTTGAAGGTCGAGTCTGTACGATCCACAAGCAGTTACATATATTTCCGAAACTGATAGTTGTGAGTTGTGCCTCTTTAGAAGAGGGGATGCGCTATGATATGAAATACGAGTACTGGCCATAATTCATTCGATTTGCCTACAAAGTAAACACACAAATTTACACTAACCACATTTGACGTTCTCCTGCCATTTGTGATTAATTTGTTTGCAATAATCTTCATAATTCATTTAATTAATTGCTTTAAGTGTGGAAGCGCGTCGCCATAGAAACAAATGAGGGTGCCAAAAAGGTGTTTTGTTGGTACATTTTTACATCGCAAGTATATTGCAATTTCGCTGGTTTGTCAGTTTTGTAATAAGAACTTTTGATAAAGTAAATTATTTTTTAAATATTGCATACATATAAGCAAATTAATGAAAATAAAATGATAAATTATTTCAGCATTTTACTTGCTTATGAACGCGCTCTCAAAGAAATAATGCTTCAAAGAAATAAAAATATGTAAAAATAGTAACAAATACACAAAACTGCTATATTTTCCACCAAATTTATTTAATATCTAATATTTAAAAGTATGCATACATACATATGTACATATATAGCGCGATAGAGTTTGACGTTGGAATATACAAATTCCATTGAAGATTGAGAACTGCTTTTATTAAACATTTTTCCGACATTGCGGTGATTAAGCGAATCATTAGAGTGAAAATTATACAATTTGGTGTAAACAATTACATACATGCGAATAGAACAAAATCTACATACATACATACCCGGCAGCAAAAAGGCGGCCAATATTCTAGGACTAGTATTTCACTGGCTAAAATTTGACTGATCAGAATTGGACATTTGCTTGCCTTCGACCAGTCTCCAAGGAATCGGTCTACGGTTTGGCAGTGATAGGGTGGTGTTGTCTTGCAATTCGATAAACAAAATTTTAAGAACACCACCCTGTAAATGCGCCAATCGCTTCATGTGGCCTTGATTCAAAGTGAACATTTGAACACACCGGGTCCGGGTTCAAATGCCGTCGTCAGAAGCAACATGGTTGTAAAATGATAAAATAATTTTTTTTTTTTATGTTTCCGAAATATGAAAAAGCATCTGTGAAGTGCAGAACGTAATCGTGGTCCAACGAAAAAATAATAATTCCAAAATTGGACTAGTCTAGGACTATCTTATGGTCACTGTTGAGTGGACCGGCCTTTTTCAAATGGCACACCAATGCTAAAAATGGCAGTTGAAACCATTGGCAGGGGAATTGTGAGGGACTAGTGCTGGTAACAATAGGGACTATCTGAAGGGTTAGCCTAGGGTGAGTCTGAATTGCTGCAGTGTGGTAGTAGTGAAGTATACATATGTATGTATGTACGTGAACGCCAACAAAATTGTGCAGAATTTTATTATTGTATTACTTTAAATAAACAATCGATTCGAGACGTATGCCGCTGTTTGATTTTAGAGATTTTTTCTTGTCGATGCATACATACATATGTACGTACACAGGTATTTATTTTAACTTTAAACAAATAATTACTATTTGGGAATACTTAGAAAATTCGAAAGAAAAACTTATCGTTTTGCTCGTTTTATTTATACATACATATACGGTTTTAATTGTTTCTAATTTTTTTCAAATTAACGCGGTGAAGAAAGAGCAACCAACGTGCTTTTCTACAAAATTCTTTAGTTCTAAATTTTCATTAATAGATCACAGACATTCAATGTTAAGGGTGATGAAAATATTTTTTAAAAACATACAACAATAATTATAAAAACAAGCCCATACTTTCTGCCTTATGTCTTTCCCTACAGGGTCTGTTTTGTATACGGACATCAAACCTTCTTATCACAGTGGTTGAATTAAATTATAGATAAAGCGAAATCTAATCACTTCTGCTTATTTGCTGATAATTGCGGCTCTGAGAGAATTTCATTGTTTCTAAGAAATCAGCACGAGCACAGCGTATAAAATATGTACATATATATATATATCGAGTTTTTGTTTAATAAATTAAATTATTTACACCCTAAGATTGTGGTTGCTTGATTCATTGCAGATCTGCCTGGGAGTTGGTTCAGGGTCCATGATAAGGGGTCAACTGTTTCTGTTTTTTTTTGTTTCAAAGTCATACCAATTTTATAGATTATTAATTTATCTTTTTTTGGACAAGAATCTGAATATTGCTGCGAAAAAATTTCGTTTCGCAATATCTCGATTGACAAAAATAAAATAAAAAATTTTACAGTAATAGTATTAGTTATTTTTTTGAAACGGCATTTAAATAAAATAACGCACAATAAAATAATGCACAATGAAGTATCTACAAAATACCGTTGATTTTAGGAATTATTTTTTTTGCGGACACGCATTTTCTTTTATAAAAAGTTACTATGTAGGAAAAATTTTTTGTATGGAGGAAAATAATTACGCGAATTCTTAGCCTCTTGAAAGTTGCACTTTATTACTAGAATTTAATTGGCTACAAAACTGCATTCTTAGAATTTCTCTAAAACTTATGAATAATACTTTGGTGGATTTGTATTGTGTTTGAATATTATATAATTAACTAGACTTTAATAAGAAATTAAGAACACTAGTGTTCGCCCAGCGGTTGAAATTCAACCGATAAAATTAAGGATAGTTTATGTAAGTAACTTAAAAACTTACTCCACCTGAGCTCACCACACATTAATTCACCACACTT